CACACTTTGTTATAGGAATCATTAAAGTTGGCAATCATCAATTCAACTACCTAATATACAGTTCAACTGTAAATTGAATTTATAGTGCCGTGGTGAGTTAACTGAAAGTTCTAATGAGCAAAACCTTTCAAAATAGGCATAGTTTGAGTATAGAACATTTTGTTCATTAAAAATGTGATACTTATTAAATAATTTATAATTTAATTTTATTGAAAAAATGACTGCCTACATAAAAAATATACCGTTCAAAAACTCTATTAAATTTTGAGACAAAAATATGCATTTTATAATCACATAATTTTTGTGATCCAAATTTGAATCCGAGGATTTCAAGCAGGTAGAAGCCTCTGTAAGGTGTTTGCATTTTTGCGTATGACTTCATACATAAATAACTAGGATAGTTTTATTGGACTAACGATTTTTTAATGTTACTATCACAAGATCTACCTTTTTGATTTTCTACAAACGAATGCTTGAGTATTTATATTTAGAAGTACTGGATGACATACCGCTCAGAGAAATATCATATACATTTTCTTACTAATTACTCATCAAACCGTCGTTTTGAGGAAAGTTAACAAATAAATCTTAGAAATTCTATATTTGCTGTTTTTAATTATATTTTTCTTTTAGTCCCATTTTTGTACGGTTTATTCACATGATGAGCTTAGGCCTAAACATATATAAGATATTTTGAATGTAAATTCTTACAATATTTAATACTCTACAAGGCAACTATATTTAAAAAAATCCGCACCATCGTGAGCCATATTCAAAAGATCACAGTCTTCTAATGTTACTTCTAGTAAAGACAGTTACTTTCCATAGTCGAAATCACGAAAGATGACGATTACGTCATCACTTTAGTCTCTAGTAAAGACTAACGACAGCGATTTGTGAATATTTTTAATGAAGTTTCAGATATGTTAGACAGAGACAAACAGAATTTTATTGTCTAAGCAAGCTGTATAGCTAAGTTGCATGCATCTGACAAAGATAGGCGATGTTTTCATGTTGCATGATCGAAAATATTTGAAAGATGAATAGTTAGGTTATGGTTAAAGCAGGTTAGGTTGTTTTCGAATAATACTTTGGTCTTTGGTGTTCCTGTCTTGAGGTATTCTATACATAACTGTTTTTTTAAAAACAAAAACTCCCCACTAAAATTATTATTAAGGTATCACTCGAAACCATGAAGTAAAATGAATATAAAAATAATCAGTGAACTAATCTAACTTCGAAAAATCATAATATAAATTTGTTATCGTTATGTTCCTGTCATCGTGATGTTATCATCGACGTACGTCCATTGATTACTTCAGTACAATTTATGGTATGACGTAATAGTCATATTTCGTGATTTTGACTATATGTTTCTATTAGGCAATACCAGGCCCTATAACACTTACTATATCCTAAAAACTATGAAAAATAATACGAGTACATGAAAATTAATTATCTTTCAAAATTAAGATACAACGTTACAATAATGATATACCTTACACTAATAATTGAACAATTGCAAACCGAAAAATGGGAGAATGTCCCAGCAAATGGAAATAACTGGTGCATTGACTGGTACAAAACAGTTATTTCGTGAGTCATTTTCACAAGATAATAGAAATAATAACTTTGGAATGTGATGTATATAGGTTCTCCATTTGCTTGGAACTGATATCACAAATACTATTTACTATTTTACTGTCTGTATATACAGCTTGTTCGGTAAATAGTACGACAAGAAAATGAGGAAGATAGGCGAAAGGCAGATCCACAACACCCAAAAAAAAATGATCCTAGTAAATGTTTCACTGTTTTTGAGATATGAATTCTTTTTGTCACTTTCGAAAAATTTCATCGTTTTATTCACCTGTTGTTGCTGATTGAGCAGGTAATTTATCGTAGTACTTTGCAGTAGCAGTCTAGTACATGTTTATTTCATTGCTGAATACCAAAGTTGAGTAAAATAGTTTTCTAAAATAAAAATTACGAAGAAGATATTAGTCAAGTTTAACTACTTGTATTTATCGAAATAGATACTTCAAATGAGCCGTCTAACTGCAAACCCCGCCAAATGCAAAAGTTATAAAAATTGAGATAGCACTGTCATTCGCCAGGAAATGTTGATATCTGCATTCTGTCAAGAGATTATTTCGCAAAACCCGACATTTATATTACTATCGAGCATCAAAAACTCAGTTCATATTCAATGCATCGCCATTTGCAGATTTATTAGTTTGCGAAAACCGCCAAGTGCGTGTGTCAAATAGGAAACTCGTGTTTTGGCCTTGTGACCGTGTACTTAGACTATTTACAGGGTTTCGCGCCACTTCCTGGCAGTCTCATCATTGTGGTTATAACGCAAGCAGGTGTGAAAGTCATTGTTGCTGTTTATTAAAATATTTGGTGAATAACTTAATAATGAGTGACATTAAGGTTACAAAAACTCTTCCAGAGCATAGTCGAAAAAGGATGGTACAATCGCATTAACATAAACGTGCCATTTGCTAAGCAAAACCGGTGAGTTTGTTGTTGCTTTTACGAGACAAAACGTTAATCATGATTTTTGTGTTATTGCAGATATTCTCCGAAGTCTTTACCTGAATATCCCACCTTCAATCACAAAAAAGGAAGTATTAAATGCAAAACATTATCTATGATAGACATTCAGCGCTTCCATGGATTGTTCTACAAAAACAAAGATAAAGTAGCTCAAGACACGTTAATCTACAAGTGCTGCTTTGCGCTAAATCCGGAAAGATCACGCTTAGCAATAAACGCAAAGGGCAAGAAAAGTGTGACTATCGTCTATAACGTTATAAAAAACAAAAAATTGGTCCGTGTCTGTAGAAATAGTTTCCTTGGAATATTAAACTTAAAAAAAGACAGAGTTCAAAGAATTGTCAAACAATCCGAAAACGTTCCTAAGGAAAATAGGGGTGGCGATAGAATTGGCTGGAAGAATGAAGAAAAAAAGCGCGCAATTGCTCATTTTATAGAAAATTTAAAATGCACAGAGTCCCACTACTGTAGAAGTCGCACTAATGTCAGAGTCTACCTAAATTGTGATCTGAATATTAGAAAATTGTATAAATTATACAATGCATTTGCAGAAAATCACCTTAAAGTAAAGGAATCATATTTTAGAAAATACGTAAACATGAACTACAACCTTGGATTTGGAACTCCAAAGACCGATGTTTGCTCTGTTTGTCTAAACTTCAAGGAGGAAATAAAAAAAGAGAGGGACGACACTTCAAAAGCCAACTTAATAATAAAACAAAGAGTACACAAACTGAAAGCCAATGCTTTTTTCGCAATGCTTAAAGAAGAAAAAGAAAATGTTGTGAATTATTCCTTGGATTGTCAGAAAAATTTGGCCTTACCTCGACTTCCAGATTCCTCAGCATATTTTTCTCAGCAATTTAATCTATATAATTTTACAGTAGTAAAGGGTTCTTCGAAGTCACAGTTATGTCCTTACAACGTGACCTCATACTTGTGGACAGATGTGGATCTCCCGAAAAATTCCAGTATGATTGCATCAGCGTTGTTTGATTTTTTAAGAAAAGAAGAATTTTCGGCATCAAAAGATACAATCCGTTTGTTCGCCGATGGTTGCGGCGGACAGAATAAAAATTCAATAGTTTTAACAATGCTCTCAGTCTGGCTTATAAAATATGCCCCGGCCCATCTGAAAACAATTGAATTTGTCTTTCCAATAGTGGGCCATTCTTTCATGCCTCCTGATCGAGTTTTTGGTCTAATTGAACGTGTTATTAAAAAAAATACAACTATCTGCGAACCAGAAGAGTATTACAAGATTATAGAAGAATATTCAGTACTAAAGGTTTTGGGAAAAGACTGGCATGCTTATGATTGGAAAGCGGCTGTTCAGAATATTATCAAACCGCCCGGAACTTGGCATTTCCAATTCAATCCAACAAAAAGGTTTCTGATAACAAGAGACCATAGTCAGAAGATTGCTTTAATTCAAGGAGAAGCAAACTATCGCACAAATTTAGGAATGGCTAGAAGTGTCTGTAAAAAAAGGCAAAAGAATATTGTCCATCGCACCAAAAAAACTAGTCTCTGGGCGTACTGTTAATAACGACAAGAAACAATCCATTAACCGTTTGTTAACCAATCATTATGGTCCTGATTGGAAATCTTTGCAAAATCTAATATTCTATAAGGATGCATTGGAGAACAACATAATCCAAACAGGCTCTTCTACAATGACAGAAGAATTCATCTGGGACCAAACCCCTGTGGATGACACACGTTTTGTTTAATTATATAGTTTGTATTTTTAAAATTTAAGTTAATTTTTAATTATTAAAGAAATAGTTAGCTTATAAGTTTGCTCCATAATAAGAATTAACATGTTTGATTAGCTGAAGAATACTGTGTTATTTTTTGTGCGATCACAATCTACTACTTGTACCTGCTTTTCTAATATAGTTTGTTGTTGAATTATTTGGTCTTAATGGACTCTTTTTGGGTTTAAAACTGTTGTAGTTAACTAAAACTAATTTATCTAAAATCCTTGATTTTGGCTGCAAAACCCGCCATTTTCCACATTTATTTTCAAATCCCGCCAACTGCATTTTATTTTTCTTATTTTACGGTGCTAGTGCACTCTTTCTTGTAATACAATAAATGATATTTATTAAGAAACAGTATCTATATCAACACGACATTAAAGTAAATTCATTTTGTGGATAGTATTAGCCAAAACAGTTTTTCGCGTTTTTCTTGGAACTGTATGATTTGCATGCGGGGTTTGCATTTAGACGGCTCAAATGGCAGACCAACTATCTGAGAATATTTTGCAAAAAAAAAACACAAACAGATATCCTGTTATTTCTAGGCACAGCAACAAAAGATAGATTAAGAAAAGAGAGACAAAAAAATAATATCTCAAAAACAGTGAAACTTTTACTGGGGTCATTTTTTGGTATATTTTCTATCGTCCCTATTTTTTTGTCGTACTATTTACCGGACACCCTGTACGTTACGTACAGATGAGAATTCAGTAATCATACTTTTTCCATGAAATGACTCGTTCTTATGGTCTATCGTTATATTTCCTTATCCCTTATTCTACGTTGGATACTAAAAATTATCTTAATTTTCTTTAATAGAATTTTCAACTTTCAACACTTAACTGAACGGCAATGGACCATTTGGATTTACGTATAGAATGAATGTTTGTAGTTTTCAAGTTTTTCAATAGATATTTGATCATTCCATTCAGGATTACTTACAAATTAATACGAATTAAATTTTAAAACGCCTTTTCATCAAGAACAATTATTAGGCATTTATTTTTCAAATGGCAGGATTTGCTATTTCAAAAAAAGTGTGATAAAGTCATACGAATCTCTACCATGACAGGTGAACACATGTGCCAGAGACTTGTTCAGTCTTCAACATGTGCCGCAAGTTGCGATGCAAACGTTTTAGTTTGCAACATGTGCCCGCCATTTTTGTACGTACAAAATGTTGCACGGGAATACATGTGTCATTCGCATGTGTACATGCTGAAAGGTCATCATGTTGCAGCACATGTGGTCCATTAGACACTATTATGATGAATCTAAAACATAAAAGCAAGTCCGTAGCCAGCTTCAGAGAGAAATAATTTTTTAATATACGATAAGATCAAACTACCTGATAGACTTATTAAGAATCTTTATGAATATCTTTTATGAGCTCAATTTATATTAAGGTGGGGTTTGAAGGGTATTTTTAGTGAAGGAAAATTTTAATTTCAACAGTTGTCGTTTAATACTCTTAAAACTAAACCTGTAAAATCCCGCGTAGGTCTCTTTCATTTTCATAAAGTTGTGTCATACTTTTCGGGGATAAAAGTTTCCAAACAGTCTGCAAACCCTGCCTTAAATTAACTCAAATATGGAAAATTAATTAATAGAATTAAAAATAAATTGTTCCTTATGTAACATTTTTTACACATTCCGATTCACTCTCGTACCTACTCTGCAAAAATAGATATGTATATAAATATGTCAGTTCTATTAAATATCTATTCCTGTAAATTTCAAATAAAACTACAGCATCAACTATGTATTTTAAAGTTATAAGTACGTAAGTAATATTTTGATAAGCATATAATTCTTATAATAATACTGTTTGATTTTCTTACTATATAACACTCATACTGTCTAAGCCACTTCAAAATTAGGGTTCAAAGGTTCAATTTTAATATTGCTGAAGAAACAATAAAATTAAAAATAAAACAATTTCGAAAATACTTTCTTGGTGGTGTAAAATCGTTGAAAATACTCGTATGAAGAGTTTCTATTTTGCAGTTTCATTATTCGAAAATTTTATTCTTATACTGGGTTCAAAAAACTCATAACTGAACCTTGATGATTGAGTAAATTAAAAATTATCCTTGTTAAATATATCATGATCTCATCAACGTGGGTTCTACATAACGAACTATTGCTAAAAGAAGTGTATTGCTTGGAATACTATCTATGCATAAACGTTGTTAGAACAAACTAATATCAATAATTACAATAAAATATATCGCTTTATGTCTCACTAACTAGCAGATACTCTCAAAAATTAGTTACTATAGTTTTGAGACTTTCAAGCTATGGATGACGACATTATTTATATTTTCCACGACAAAATGAATGAATGATGATTTACATTTGTTTTGTATATTTACAGTGACCGGATAAAGCACATTATTTGCTAAGTACATTTTAAAATTTGTGCAATATACATACATACACTAGAAAATTCTAGCAGGACAAGCACTCCGAGATACTAAGAGAAAATGAAACTCATCTGTAACTTGCCTTCATTGCTTCTTATTTTAAAGAGTCTCACTGTTAGGAGCATTACTTGCTGTGGATTATTAATTCCATATAAGTGCCAAGGTCAAAGTTTTCGTAAAATTCTTAAAACAATATAACTAAAGTAGCCAAACGATAATTAAATACCTATTTGTGTTGAAATCCAATGTGTATCCATTTTTGTGGTTCCTTCAAATATTTTGTAAAGATACTTAATGTTTTCGATTCAGCTCTTTCTTACTCTCGAGTATAATAAAAAATACCCATAACTAATGAAACTTTAAAAAGTAATCCCTGGCACAACAGCACAAAATAATGGAAAACAGGTTACTGAACGTGAATTTTAAAGGATATCCTATATAGTACCGGACGTCTTTATTTTTTGATTTCATCCCTGCAAGATATTATCTTATTAATATGGCGTGACTACAGTCGCGAAGGGCGAAACTTCCCCTATCTTATAGCAATATGAGAACAAAAACTTATTCCAACCTAGTTCGAATATAAGCTTAACCAGGAAGAGGAGCTTCTGCATAGAAATCTGGTTCGTCTTCGTCCACATCTGCTTGGTCTCCATCCAGCTGCAAAAAGGGAAAGATGGACATAAATTAACAATATATTTTATAAGTCCTACAAGGTAGCCTGAAGATAATGCAAGGTAAGAATGTTGCCAGAAGAAATTAGTTTTTCTTAGATAATACACGGGAGCATTACTACACTCAGTAGTCTAATCATATTAGACGAAAGTACCCCTGGTTTGCGACATGACTGTAAAGTCTGGTTTTATTGTTGTTCAAGGCGGTGTTTAAAACATGGACGCATAAAATGGGTACACCAATTTTTGCGGGAAAACTTTTTATTCGACAACAAAGAATGAGAAAACGTGTTTTTTGGAATTCAATTGAAAGTGTTGGCAGGAACGGAAAAACTCTTCATATAAGATTTTTAGGTATTTATTAGACACTCAAAAAGATCAGACTAATAGCAAAAAAGTTATGGCCAAAAACCGAGGCAAGCGAAATCGCACAGCAACCCTTTATTACGCGAGTCAGTAGACTACATAGCAGAGCAAGTTCGCAAGCATACAAGATAGCGGCTCGCCGCACTATGGACAAAGTTAAACTGCAGGCTCTGGCACTTGTTGGTCGAGCGACGATGGTTTCTCGCACATACTTGAAATTCTTCAAATTCGTAGGATTCATACTTCTTAATAACCACTACAAAATTGGAGTAGATTGGTCAAGTAGTTTTTTAAAATTTCTAATTGTTTATCCCAAAACACTTGTTTTCAGGCCATCAATACTAGTTTATTGAGCAATATACAGGGTTAGTTCAAAGGGTATTTTATAGCTAAATACACTATTTCACCTTGCCTATATGAATCGCAAACCAATTCGGAAGATAAATGTTATTTTTATGCAAAAGGATGGGTTACGTATTCTCTTCTAAACAAATTCAAACATTTCGTATTTGTGAGTAATTCGCAACAAAAGATCCGCTTTCTTTTAAAATGTTTATAGTAACGTATATTTTTCAAATATCGTAGCGCATTTGTTCAATTACTCACAGATACGAAATGTTTGAATTTGTTTAGAAGAAAAAAACGTAACCTTTGTTTTTCGCATAAAAATAACATTTATCTTTCGGAATGGTTTTGTGATTCATATGGGCAAAGTAAACACGTGTATTTTGCTAATAAATGCTCTTTCACGAGCCCTGTATATTGATCAACAAACTAGTAGTGATGTCCAGAAAACAGGTGTTTTGGGATAAACAGTTAGGAATTCTCAAAAACGACTTCACCAATATAATCGAATTTTGTTGTTATTTAGAAGTATGAATCCGTAGGATTTGAAGAATTTCAAGTAGTTGCGTGAAACCATCGTCGCATCCTCGGTTTTTGGCCATAACTTTTTTGCTATTAGTCGGATATTTTTACGTGTGGTCTCATTTTGTAGGTCTCATAAATACCTAAAAATCTTATATGAAGAGTCTTTCGTCCCTGTCAACACTTTCGATTGAATCCCAAAAAACTCGTCTTGTTATTCTTTGTTGTCGAATAAAACGTTTTCTCGCAAAAATTGGTGTACCCATTTTATGCGTCCATGTTTTAAATACCGCCTCGAACAACTTACACGAATAAAACCAGACTTTACAATTATTCCGGAGAAATTTGTAATATGTTTAGACTAAAGCTAATTTGTTACTTTCAATTCAATCTCTGAAGGGTTATCTAACATGATTTTGTATCTAAACAGTGGACAGCCGCAGGGAATTTTTTACACAATCTTTTATTTTTTTATGTACTATATCTATATCGAGAGATTGTGTCCACATATTTTCGGGTCCTTGAGTCACTCCGAGAAGGAATGCATAACTCGTACTGAAAATAGCAGTTACTAATGAGTATTTTTAGAGTGACTACAATTAAATTAAACATTGCATATTCCATTTATAGTAAGGCTCGAAATATCGTTAAAGCGCTAGATTATTTTAAATAGCCGTCAAAATTTATAACGTCTATCATTTCTATTAAACTACTATAATTACATAGAATTATTCGTAAAACACATCTCCAATGCAAAAGTAAACTGTTTAGATTTTAAAAGCATCATAAACGTCAAAATGAGCATTTCACACTTCACGGAGTGTGCACTACTTATGCTGCTATTTGTTTTAACGGTACATTTCACTCACAAACCGATTTATGATGAAATTGGAAAGTAAGTAATTGGTACTCAAAGCTGATGATACGACTACGATTTTACTGTACCGCCTTTCTCAACTCTACTACTTAGCAAAGGTAATTCAAATGTTAAAGTCTACCTCAAATTGAGTTTTTGAACCACCATTTCGATATGGTGAAAACTTAGCTAAGATAAAGTTGCATCCGACAACAGTGCACTTGTAGTAACTGTTTAGGAAAATTACGTCTGAAACTATAAATGTAATCATTTGGATATTTTCTTTCACATCTAGTCAAAACGAATAAAAATAACCCAGTGAACATTTATTTTTGATTAGATTGAAAGTAATGTCTTTCCTGTACTAATATTATATTGGTTGCTGTAGACACAATATATATTTTCGGGTACTTCCTTTGGATCGTCCTCATCAGCTTAAGAACATTCTGAAGTATTCGCATCACTAAAAGACATTCAGACAATTCGGTGAAATGCAGCCAAGCTTTGTTGTTATTTCAAATACGTAGCTATAAAATATTACCATTACGCGAGTTGTTTAGAACTTAATGGATGACTTTGAAGAAGTTTCCATCTTCGCAGTCTTCAATTTAAAAAAAACTCGTAAGACAGTAGTCAGTTGGTCAAAAGTGGATATGGTAACAAAAACATGAAATTTAAGGTTGAGCTTAGCTTAAAGTTGACCTTAGCTTAGAATGTCGATTCTTTCACACACGAGACTTCGTCACCGACATATTTGACTTCAGGTTCTAGAACCTTCAACTTTGGAGTCAAAGTTAATGTTTCATTACCACATGAATGAGTCGATGACCTTTAGAGTCTTTGATATTTGACTTCAAGGTCAATGACAAGAACTTCAGGGCCGAACCCTCGAACTTGAGGTTGATTGCATTTGACTTCAGGACCACTGATCCTCAACCTTGGAGTGGTTCACCTATCCGGTCAAGCGGAATCACACAGCAACCCTGTTCAAGAAGAAGAAAGTGAACTATATACCGAGCGCAATGAGCAAACAGAAGACATTGCCACCAAAAAGAAAATTAGCAACAGAGAAATACCAAACTGAGGAAACCAAAGGGTGAACTACAAAATAACTGCAACGTCTAGTGCTATTACAGCAGTAATAAACAAGTATTATTGTATTATACAACAAGAGTATTATAAAACGAAATTAGAAATGATGCAGTGTCAGAAGCCACCTGTAACTTATGATGTTCACGAAAATAAAACTTATTATAACTTATAAATACACTTTAATCAGTAAAACTAGTTATTATAATACTCAAGTTCCTTTTTATTTGTTGACCTAGTTGGCGGAGAGGAAGTTCGTCATTCTCATGATTTCCTTCATCTTCATCTGGGTCTTGTTCAACTGACTCAAAGTCAGGATTGCCCAAGCTCTTCGCAACATTATGGAGTACAATACAAGCAATAATTATTTTCGGCACATTCTCCCACTTTACGCGGCAAACATACTGTAGGATAGGAAACCGGCGTTTCAGTTGGCCGAAACAGCGTTCAATTATAACTCTTTCTTGTTTTAAAAGCTTATTATAATTTATTTCTGCACCTGGAGTAGGATTTCTGAAGGGATTCATAAGGCATGGCTCAATACCATAACCGTCATCGCCAAGTAGTACTACATTTGCTTTATTTATTAGTTGTGATCTAGTCTGTGAATTTCTCCATATTCTGGAATCATGCACTGATCCAGGCCAACTGACATCAACACTTGTGAGCATCTCGCTGGCATCACAAGTGACTTGCACATTTAAAGTAGGTTTCCCTTTTGGCGATTTGGTTTCAGGATTCCTATATGTGTACAATCAATTACACCAATTGCTGTCGGAAATTTATACATGACTTGCCATATCCGCTTTGCCTCCATCAGTTCATGGTTGGTAGTTGGAAACTTGATCCATTCGTTCGACTGTGCCACTATGCTGTTCACAACTCTATCCACAGTCCGAGATACCGTTGCTTGACTAACATCAAGTTTCTGACCAATACCTTGTTGATATCCAGGCTCACCGAGATAGCGTAGACATATCTTCATTTTATGAATACATGAAAGTGCTCCTCCTCGAGTTTCCTCATTCTCAACTAAAAATCTATCCGCAAGCCATCGTACATTTGCTTCGTCGAACCGATATAATTTTTTGAAGTCACGACCAAGGAAGATAAATGAGGTTTGTACGTTTTAACATCCCTAATATCCACAATTTCCGCCATCATCGTTTGACCACCTTTCGTTACGAAGTTGAGTCTGCAACTGACCACACTCAGAATTTTTGGAGGATATGCTTGCTATGCCAAGTATAAGGTGAAGACTATTAATATCCTTTTACTTATGTCACTGCTTTGAAGGATATGCTTATACTCAAAAAGCAAAAGCAGTTACTTCAAATTATTATAAATACCATCTGGAGGATTTCCTTCAAAATTTGCAAGTACAAGGATATCCTTTGTTCTATGAGTACGGCTTAATGACAAATCAGAGAGGTTCACATATTATCTTATATGTCAAGGTCAAGAAGCTTAAAGGATAAAGTTATAGAGTCTGGTGAAATTGATACTACATTCTTTAATTTACTCGGCATCGACTATCTCCATGCGAGGTGTCCCTCAAATTAACGGGCGATCTTAATTTCACCAGATTATATCCTTTAGTCCGTTGGACAACACCCGTTTCTCTCGTTTGAGGTGTTTAGCAAATAAACTTGTTAGTTAGTTTTACCTTCAATGCACACGACGACACCAACAACTATACTCAGAGACATTAGAAAAAATATTTTCTCCAACTTGAATTTCTGGCAATGAGGTAGTCTTACATCAAGAATGAAACGAAAACATTCTCATGAAATTTTATTGACAAGTAA